GCAAGAACACGACCCCTATGAAATGGCGTCATGTCATGGACACGACTCATTTGTTGTGCATATTTTAATCGTTCCATAACACACTTAGGAAACTCCATTCCATTTTCTTTCCATTTTGTCACTTGGTCTCTACGTTCAAAATGATACTTAGTGACCCGATAAAATATTGATTGTACACAAGTAGTTATGGGCAAATACCTAGCACCTTGGAGAACACTATTAAAAACCTCTGAAATGTTGGTTGTCATGATGCCATATCGTCGTCCACCTTCATGGGCTAATGTCCACTTCTCCAATGGTATCTTAATCAGGTATGTATACGCTTTCTCTTCGACGTTACGTATATGGGTCATCAAGTCATCGAACTTGCAAATCTGTCTTGCCTTTCTAGCCCTCCACATAAGATCATACAAATGCGCATCCTTAAACTTTGTATTTAAATTACTACGAACATGCCGAAGACAAAAGCGATGATAACCGTGCGGTGGATGTCACCCAGAATCTACCTTGTTCACCGCAGCAAGGGTTCTCTTGTGCCTATCAGAAATTAAACATATCTCTTCCCGGTCTAAGAACAATCCACCGAAGGTAACGTAGGAAAAAAGTCCAACTAGACGTATTCTCCTATTCCACAATAGCAAATGCAATGGGAAACAACTGTTTATTAGCATCAAAAGTAGTCGCTACTAACAGCTTTCCCTTATACTTTCCACGCAGAAATGTTCTGTCAATACTGACAACAGGTCGACAATATTTAAACTCTTTAATGCTGGCCTTGAAAGCCCAAAATACTTATAAAAAACATTATATTCAGAAGATTCAGAGTTGTACTGCCACTTCACAATCGACCCAGGGTTATACTTCTTGATGACATCCAAAAACTTTGGTAACAAGTCATATGACGAGTCCCAATCACCGAAAATCTTAGCAATAGCTTTGTTCCCCGCAATCCATGCTTTATTATACCAAATATTGTACTTGAACTTCTCTTTTATATTTTTCTGAATTGTCGACATTTTGGTTTGTAGTGTATCACCCACGACTCCTAGTATATTATGACAAATGAAGTCAGAGTCTAACTGTCGATGATCACGACTCATCCTGGGGTAGAAGCAAGTATGTGGTCCATCATATATCGTGATCTGAAATATTTTCAATTTTTTCTTAAAACAAGCATGCAGTCTCCAGGTGTAGTTAGGCTGCATGTACATGATGCACTGTACTGCCCACACCTTTGTGTTCGTATCTACCACTATAAAATCATGATTCAGCTTGATTGAATACCATTTAACAGCCCTAATCAATGAAACTTTGTCCTAAAAAATCATGCCTTTCGCTAACTCCATCTTCACCGGATCCCACAAATGTTGTTCAACTAACGGTACTAAGCTATCTGCTTTAGTATACTGACCAAATTCAATGGTGGTGAATGAGGAAGAGTAAGGCTTATGCAGCTCCACCACCTGCGCAGCCTCAAAGTCTTCGTCATTCTCATCTTCGTCATCCGGCTCATCAATCATTACTTCCTCAAACTTTTCTTCTTCGTCGTCATCATCGGACACATCTGTACGATCATTGGCACACATTTCACCATATTCCTGGATAGGCATTTGTTGAATTATTGGTTGATGGACATCATCTTGATCACCCAACTCAATTCCTGCCTCGCCCATTTCAAAATTCTGACTGAATGAATTGTTAGCTGAGTTCCCACCGTATGTCGCGGTTCCAGTGCTTTGTTGTGTGTAAAAGTACTACACAGACTCATCCATTACCTGCATCCCCATTGGATTTGAACATTCACCCGTCATGCCGGAAGTTGAAAATGTCAATGGACCCATCTCTCGCCTAAGCAACTCAGTGTAAGACATGACATTTGTTGTTATGCACCCTCCGGTCTGACTACTTCCTATGCCAGCATTTATGTACTCCATCTCCACGTACAAAGCAACACTAGCAATGCTAGGGCTGTCAAGTACCACATTAACCACAGAAGTCACTAGTTCATCATTGACAATTTGTAGACCTACATATGTATTCATGTTTGGTCCTATTCCAAGTGTAAAAAGATATCTACAAGTCAACTTCAACTTGGTATGCGTCTTGTCCAAACCCATTACAATGTAAATTTTAGTCAATAACTCCGGCAGTTGTGTACTACTATTGATAACAATACCACCTTTGGGAGGACAACTGTATGATAAACCCTCCGAGCCATAACTCATTTGTCCACCCCAATATAGCAAAACGGTAACTTATTTTCCTGCCATTTCAACAAGTTTTCCTTGAAGAATAAGTTCTAAATTCAGAAGAACCTGGGGATGGATAGAAACAATTGAGGAAAAACATATTCATATTCTAGCGGAGTCCCAACAATTGGTTTGACGTCTTAAACATGTTATCATGTATTGAATCACAAGTTAAACATGTTATCAAGCAGGCAAACAATGTAGCCGATTTTTTAGGCTAACAAGGAAGTAGAATATGCTTAATACGATAAAGTCACATTTCAGTATCGTATAGATGCTGAATTAGATAAGACATATTCAGGACAGAATGAATGAGTACGTACTACAAGTGAGATTGAAGCAAACTGAAATTACAAGAAAGCAAAGATCCAATTCTCAAACAAATGAATGAATGAGTTTAGAACATAAGTTACAAAAGTATGAATGAGTTTTTAACAAAGGAATTACAAAGGAATGAATAAGTTTGTAACAATAGTTGAAAATGTCATACAAACTTGAAAGTTGTTTACATAGTAGCACAAAGTCTAGGAGAAGAATCTACTGGTATGCATTTTGTTGTTTAGTTGGGATAATTCTTTTTTTTTTTGCCTTGAGAACTATGATTATATTGGTAACCCATGAAACATATTTTAGAGATAGGGGCCTAAGAAAGAGGGTACACATAGGTGAGAGATTGACCTCACTCTTGACTATATGTGGTTGCGGGTTCCAATGTTATTATGTCCTCAACCCCACCCCCCCCCCAAAAAAAATATAATAATAATAAAGAAAGTACATCAATGGTGGTAGTGGTGATGGTGGTGGTGGTGAGAATCGGTGGACTTGGAGTGGCAGGTGATGATCATTGTGTTGACCAAAACCAAAAAATTAACTTAATATCGAAAACGTACAATTGATATTTTATTTGAAAATGTAAAATTAACTTAACTAGAATGCAGGAAACATTAATTTTTTTTCAATTTAATTATTTTGACTTAGTCAAATAGAGGCATGAGTTGGATAGATTGAATATTGGCATTGGTAAATCTCAAGGATATATGAGGGTTAAAAAATTCTTTTTAATGAAATTGTTAACGTCTGTTATACAAAAGAGGTGTGGATGTCAAACGTGTTCAAATGTTAAGGGGTCTCAGTATAATTTTTGAAATGTGAGGGGATGTCCTCGTCATGAAATCAAATGTCAGGGGGTGTGAGTATAATTTATACAATTGGGAACTTCTTGGCCAAGGATGCATGGATTCCAGCCACCGGAGTGTCCTTCACTTCTACCCTGTAACACACGGTTACACCTTTATTTTTTCAATAAGGAAAGTGGGTTATGTCAATTTTAGTTAGGATAATGACTTGCATGTGCTATAATTTTCACTAGTTTGTGACTTTATGTGTTGGCTTCTTGTTGTATAGTTTTTGTATATCAAGAGATGCATTCTATGAAAAGAGAAAATATATAGTTTTACTTATATTTTTGTGGTGGTTTGGGTGATTTAAATTAAAAATAATTTTAATAACCTCTATTTTTTTTTTATCAAATGTCAGGTTAGAATTTTTTCATAAATAAATTCTTGAAAATTTTGGCTAATTCAAACTGTTTCCAGCTTCATACAAATTATAAATTAGTGAGTCCATAAGAATCAGATGACTCAGTACGTAGGTACAATAATCTATCACAAATTTGCTTGTCAACGTTATATTAGAAGTGTTCAACATATAACCTCACCAGTGGGTTCTAACATAGTTTGTATTCTGATGTAAAACCTGATATTTGCCCTTTTGTAAACCAATTAATTTTCTTTTCCTTTTCATCTTTCTTTCTAAAACCTTAACATTAAACTACGTTGACCAATAGTTTTTGTTTCCTTTTAATGTTGTTTCAAACATGTATTTGGATGATTTTTGTGTGTAAGAGAGAGAGAGAGAAAGAGAAAGAGAGGGAGAGAGAGAGAGACCAATGTGTTTCACAACTTTAATTCATATGGAAAGAAATCTCTTCTTGCGGTTAAGACTAACAAAAAAACACTTGCTCACAAGCCTAATGGAGTCGAACTTAATAATGTTCTTCAAACCTAACTGGTTTGGGATATCAAATTTATGTTATTAACATCCTCCTCCACTATTCAAAAAACAGTTGCACAGTGAGTATTAAAAAAAAGCTATCCAAACAAATACAAAAATTTATTTCATTTGTATCTCAATCCCTTCACAATTGTAACTAACCACATACAACTATAAATTTGATGCACATTTTTACTCATATTTATAACCTTATCAAATTTGATTAAATAAAATGCCAAATTATCCCACACAGCCTAATTGAAAAATTTTCATATATACTACTCAATACCCAATTAAATAATCAACTCAATAATCTATAATCTATTTAATACTCAATTCACTAATCAACTCAATAATCAATAATCTATAATCTACTCAATACCCAACTCAATAACTCAATAAATAATCAACTCAATTCAATATCGGATATTTTCAATGAATTTCAATATTTATATCATTTCATATAATTTCAATATTTTTCATTAAATAATCAAACAACTAGTTTAAATAATTTCAATATTTCTCACCTGCTGGAGGCTGTCAACGGTGCATGGAGATTTGGGGCTTTAGTGGTTGGGTGGGGCTGGGTGGGCGTGGGTGGACCTGCGTGGTCGTGGGTAGGGCTGGGTGGGCCTGCGATGGTGGTGGGTCTCTGCTGGTGGTGGTTCTTTGGTGTTCTTCTGCGCTGGTGGTTCTCTGATGCTGCTCTGGTGGTTCTCCGATGGTGGCACCATGGAAAGTGTGCCAACTGATGGTAAGACGACGGGTGAAGTTATGTTCAGAGGAAATACTGTAATGAGTGGATATTATAAAGATTTGAAATCAACAGAAGAAGCTTTCAGGGATGTATGGTTTCGAAGTGGTGATCTTGCCGTGAAACATCCTGATGGCTATATTGAAAGTAAAGGATCGCTTGAAAGACGTTATAATCTCTGGGGGTGAGAATATAAGCACTGTGGAGGTAGAAACAGTGGTGTATAGTCATCCAGCAGTTCTTGAGGCTGCGGTAGTTGCACGACCGGATAATCACTGGGGGCAGACGCCTTGTGCATTTGTAAAGTTAAAGGAGGGATTTAATGTTGATGCTGAAGAAGTAATCAAGTTTTGTCGTGATCATTTGCCTCATTACATGGCACCTCGGACAGTCATTTTCGATGATCTGCCAAGAACTTCAACTGGCAAGGTTCAGAAATTTATCCTGAGGGAGAAAGCAGAGGCCTTGGGCAGCCTTTCTTGAGCAGAGAATTAGGGCCCCCAGCATGTTTCCTAGAAAGGTAAGAGGCTGAAATCTCATATTTCACGCTATATCCTTCAAGGTTCCTTTGGTTTTGCTACAATGCTGATACAATGGATGGCAACTGCTTGGATTTTTTCACGATGTCTAGGCAAATTGGCATCTAAAACAAGAGATCAAGACTACAAAAATTCCATTTTTACTTTGGCTTTTGTTCTAGTCAAGAAGAAAGATTGATGAAATGTTTTCAACCTCAACTATTTTTTCTGGTTTTGGTTAGTACTTACAACTTAATCCTCTTTGTAGTTTGCAGACTAACCATATTTTATTGTCATTATATTTATTGTTATTGTTCTTCTATTACCATGTGTTCTCGAAATATAATTGCTGAAATAGCAAATGGCTAGAGAAGTTGGTTGCGAAGCATTTTGTTATGGAATCATTCCCGCAATTTTTTTTTCTTGATTGCAGATGAACCAAGAAAATAAGTTGATGGTCTGTGCTTGTCACCTTAATTTCAGATGTGTTGAAATTGTCTTTCTTTTTACTAAACAAATGTAATTCACCAAAAAACTCGAGAAAAAAAAAAAGTTACCCAAGCAGTGAATATTGCTGGCGTATGAGAATAACGAGAGTTATTGGCCCATTGTACCTTTGCAGACAGCATAGAATACAAATTCTCTAATAAACTCTTCGCTTCATATCCAAATTAAGCTAAGTTATATCATATTATTCACTAGTTTCCCGCTTCTATTGGATTTTCAGTCTCATTCATCTTGTACAGTGTTGTGTAATCACTCAAAACACAATATTGATACGCAATGTAAAGCAGTCATTAGATATTATTCTGTTTGCCATGTTCCCTTAATAATGGAATTTAGATTTCTGTTGAAGGTTCCATCCATCATCTACAATTCAGCTACTGATAAAGTAAAAACAGAAAGAAAAACTGTTACAGTAGAAACTATTACACTGATCATCACCCCACTGAGGTGGATGGAGGTGCTTCTTGGTTATGCAATGGCAACAGCAGGATATCGAGTCAGATTGAGGCGGAGAATATATGAATTTGCAACGGAACCACAATACAAATGGTCCTTGATCTTGATCCCACTGGAAATCATTGACAACGCAGGATCATAATAGTGAGCAATCGGATTTCCTTGCAAATCAACAGCGAAAGCCCCAGCATTTTTCCCCATATGTGGTCGTCCTATGTACCTCAATATGATGGCCATAACCTTCCGGAAGAAAGGATATTTCTGTCCCAGACTCCAAATATATGTGGGTTCCTGCCAAATTTTCACAAAAGATGGTGATGCAAAGAGGATGTTACTGGACACATTCAATACTATTAGTATTTTAAGATACTTTTGATTGATACATTTCCCATAATGTTGTAGTGGGTGTGTTGGGCAATACTGGACTAGCCAAGCACATAGTTTACCTCATGGCTTATCACTTTCTATCTTCAATTAGAAAATCTAAAGCAGAGTTGTTGGATTTCATAGGTTTTCCTTTGACAAAATGAAGCTCATCAAGAAAAACTTCGCAGAGAATAGAATGTTGCAGATCAATGATTTGTATGAAGTGACTTACTGAGAAGATTGCAATCCAGTAGTGACCTTCTCCGTCAAATCGAATGTTGTCGGGCATGCCGGGCAAATTATCTACAAACATATCTACAGATCCTTTTGTTTCACCATGTAAGTAGTATTTCTTGCACCTTCTCCTGCAATTTCAATGCACTACAATAAAGTTTTCCAACAACACTAACTACTATCCAGAATTTGTTTACGAGGTTGAGTCGCGGAAAAAACTTCTCCAGATGTGAGGTAAGACTGCGTATATGTGACTCTCCTACACTCCCCGTAATGCTAGAATTTTTGTTCATTGAGCTACCCTTTCATCAAAATGGCAACTTACACACGGAACACCTAAATCTCTATTGGATTGAGTTTCAAATTGCCCCAGTGCTTAACCTTTGTTCTGTTTTTCATGACAAATCATGCAAGTGTAGAATTATACAATGTTAGGAGATGTGTGTGTGTGTTTATTTTTAAATAAATTCCCTATTTTGCTAAGAAAAATAAGAAAAGAGTTAACGGTTGGATAATGTAAAACTCAAACTAACAATGTAAAATGAAATATAAGAAAAGGGAGAGCTTAGGTATAATGTGAAATGAGAGGCATAGGCCAAGGGTATAGGTGTAATTTACTCTTTCAAAATAGAAACATACTTTAACCATAAACACATTATTAAAAAGTTTGTTTGTAAAATCTCACGGTAGCTCAAGTAGTAATAATAATAAGTTGAAAATTCAAATATTCTGAATTCAAATCTTGACAATTTTTTGGGGTCAGATCATCTGGGATTTAATTCCCATGAATACCTTAATCTCAACATGGATGACCAACTTTTGAGTAGACCGAGTAGATAATTAATTAAGGTACGTATAAATTGACCCGAACACCACTTACGGTTGAAAAAAAAAAAAAAGCTTGTGAGTGGCAGTGACATACATTGGGGTTTCACAGAAGACCACAAAGTTCTGGTCTGGTGAGACTACAACTCCATTAGCAAAGTATAGGTCCCGGACCAGTACTGTGGTGTGTTGAGTTGTTGGATCATATCTCATTAATCTACCGTGAGGCCTACCCTCCAATAAGTCCCACACAGCCTCACTATTGCTGTATTTATATGAAGCATCTGTGAAATACATCATGCCATCGTGTGCTATGTCAACGGCATCCGTTAGTCGGAATTTTAGGCCGTCGGCCTCGTCTGTCAACAGCTCCGGCACACCATCTGCGGCTACTTTCAGTAATCCCTGCAAGAGATGAGAGAGTGTACTGGTGCATGAATAATAATTGACACTCAATAGATTACCCAACCAATAGTTGAAGATTATGGTATCAACTATTGACTTGAATAGTAATGACATATTTCATGAAACACAAAATAATTTCGTGCAAGATTAAGAGTCGAGTGTGTGTGATAAAGTGTAATTAATAGATAATAAATAAAATAATCAACGATAGTAATATAAATATTGAGTCAACACACAAATATATAATAGTTCGGTGTAATTAATAGATAATAAATAAAATAATCAACGATAATAATATAAATATTGAATCAATACACAAATATATAATAGTTCGGTGCGCGTGATCTACTCCACTATAAAAAAAGACAACGGAGGCCGAGAGTCTCAGAAAGTAATGGTTAGGTTTGGCAGATGTACAATAGTCAGGTGAGTGAAAAATTATGTGTGCATAGAGAGATATACCGGTAGAGTTTAATGTGTTCTCTCATGTAGAGAGAACTTATAATTTATAATCATTGAACTTTTGTTGAGGCAGCGACGTGAGAATAAAGACACTAGTTTATCGGGAGAAAAATTAAAAAAAATAAGTACAATTAAGATAACTTTGATTTTCAAAAGTGTGTATTCTAATGATCTATCTTCACGTGCTCTTTTCCTTTTAAACTCCTTGAAACTTGAGCTGAGTCGAATTGATTAATTGAATTTGACCCACCTTTTAGCTGACTAGAGATTCATGCCTCGTAGAGGTGTTGTGGAATGGTTCTGATCGGTTTAGCGACGATGACTCAAATTACTCAAGTTTAACTTGGAGATGTATTGAATACCTTAGCCAATTAGCAAAAGACTCGTGATTTACACTTAGGTATTGGATCAAAAGATGCTGATCCACTTAAAGAAAAGTATACCGGAAACTCTTCATATTGATTGTGAATTTTGATGAAATAATATTGGGTTAATACGTGTGAAACACTACATAAATTTTTTGAATTTTTCATCGGATTCGATTTTGAACACATTAAAATCCGATCCGTTAAAAACCTTGAGTACTACTAACCTTATCAGCATCGGCAATAACAACTTCATCATGGTGTCCAAGAACGATTCCCAGAGGTCTCCCACCGGTGTTAACCCAGTTCTCCACCACTGTGTCAGCCGCTGACTCGTTCACCGTGACTCGCTTGACCCACCCATCAACACAACCAGTGTATATCAACCCCGACTTTGGGTCATAAGCAACATCTTCTGGACCCAACAACTGTCCAACCCCAATCTTCTCTGAACCATGGAGCATGCGAGGGTTACGCCTTGGCACAACCATGGGCTTCTGATGAGTCAACTCGTGGGCCGGAAGAGGAGCAGGGTCGAAGGAGTCGAGTTGGTAGACGAGCACTGCCATGGTAACTGGGACTAACAACCATAACAAAATTGTGAATGGCCATGAGTTTGTTCTGGTTCTAGCAATGGTGGAAGAAGGGTTTGTTGAGAGAGATGAAGATGATTTGGACCTCGAGTCGGCCATTGTTGGCGTTCTTAGTGACTCACTGAGCTTATAACAAAAGAAAATGATTTAATCCAACACTGTCCATTTGGTCATCATATCAGCCCTTTAATGTTAAATTATATATAAAATCCTCATTTGAGTTAAATTACAAAGTTTTCTTGTCCAATATGAATTTATCCTACGGTGCACAATGATCCTCGGGCGGAGCTCCTCTGTTGACTAAAAACAGTAGAGTGTGCTGTCAAACAAAATGCTGACATTTTGTTTGATGTGGCCCATGGTGAGAATTTTTTGTTAATCAGAAGATTAAGTCCACCTCCGTAAAATATTTGAAACAGATTTTTTATTATCAAATTCAAATTTTGCATCAATCATCTCAATTAACACTTGATCTTATCCATTGTATTGTGATTATTTTGTTTCTTATTTTTTATCTTCTTTTTATATTTCAAAACTCATGTAATCTTATCAATTTAAGATACATATAAATATAGCAACAAATGAATTGTTTTGGCATTGAGGCTAGAACACTTTTATTATATCTTTCATGGTATCAGAACTACTTTGCTCTTGCATTTGATCGATCCTCCTTTTTTTAATGGCTATCTCATCCTCTACCTTTGTTGCTCCCAATCTTAGTCATCTTGGTTCGGCTAAGTTGGATGAGACTAACTATCTTATGTGGTTGTCTCAACTTGTCCCGGTTCTTAAGAGCCATGATTTAATGGGCTTCGTGGATGGTTCTCAACCGTGCCCTTTCCAGTTTGTTTTAGGGGAAACAAACTATTAATCTGAATCCAGAATACATTCTCTGGAATCGAAAGGATCAGTTTGTTTTAGGATAGAGTAATGCCACCCTCTCTGATAAGGTAGCACCTTCTGTGTATGGTATTACCTATGACAGACCTGCTTGGCTTGCCTTGGCCAACAAATTTGCTTCTCCGTCCAGATCTCGCATCAATCACTTAAAGAGACTTCTTCAAACCTTGCATCAAGGTTCCATGAAGTGTACAACTTATCTTGATTCTGCAAAGCAACTAGCAGCACAGTTGGGCGTTGTTGGTAAGCCTATTGATGATGATGATTTAATTTCTTATATTGTCAGTGGTTTGGACCATTCTTATCACCCTTTTGTTACCTCTCTATCACTTGATACCCGAGAGAAACCTCTTTCCTTTGAAGATTTTCAAGCTGAACTGTTGTCCTGTGAATTACTCTTAGAAAACCAGTTGCATACCATACCACCTGAAACCAACAATTTTGTCTTGTTTGCTCCAAAATCTTCCACCCAACAATACTTCAACCGCAAGCCAAAATATCCTGCCAAACCTCATCAGCAACCTTCCCACTCTCAACATTGCTCCAAATAGTTAGCCCCTTCCCCACCAAACAATCATTCTTATCACTTTCTTAGACCAAACCCAAACCAACAGCCCTTTACTACTCCCAGATCTCCTTGCTAGATCTGTGGCAAATCAAACCGCAGGGCTCTTGATTGTTTTCACCGCATGGACTATGCCTATCAAGGTCACCATCCTCCGTCACAGTTGGCAGCTATGGTTGCTCAAACCAATGCTCTTCAGACTACAGATAAACCTTGGTTTGCTGATAGTATCAGCACATCACAGCCAATCTTGAGCATCTAACTTTTCAACAGCCGTACAATGGTCAGGAGCATGTTGCTATTGGTCATTGTTTCTTTATTCTAACTGGAACTCATTATTTTGTCAAGAACAACCACACGGGGCGAACACTGTTGGAAGGAAGGAGTAGTGGTGGACTCTATCCTTTTCATTTGCTGTCGTTAGTTCTCAATAAACCACTTGCTATGACAACAGTTGTAGGGGTCAAAACTTATGTTTCAGTTTGGCATTCTAGATTAGGACATGCTTCAAATTCAGTTGTAACTCACTTGTTGAGTAAACATTCTCTACCATATGTCGGTTCCTTGAATAAATCTGAAGTTTGTGAGCCGTGCCAACTTGGTAAAGGCAAACAACTTCCCTTTTTAAATTCTAATCGAATAACAATTTCTCCTTTGGAGCTTATACATTCAGATGTTTGGTCTTGTTCAACTAACTCTCTTAATGGTTGTCGTTACTATGTTATCTTTATTGATGATTTTTCTCATTTTTCTTGGCTCTATCCACTCCAAAATAAATCTGATGTCTATGTATGTTTTATCAAATTCAAAGTTCTCATTGAAAATCAATTTTCTTGCAAGATAAAGCAATTCCAAACTGATGGAGGTGGGGAATACATGTCTAAACAATTTCATTCTTTCCTTGAAACCAATGGAATTAGCCATCGTGTAACATGTCCTCACACTCCTCAGCAAAATGAAGTTGTTGAGAGAAAACATAGACACATCACTGAAATAGGATTATCTTTACTGGCCCAATCTGATTTACCTACCACCTATTGGGTTGATGCCTTCTTAACAACCATATACATCATCAATCGTTTGCCTACACAGGTTCTTAGTAATGAAACACCATTCTTTAAACTGTTTGGCACTCATCCAGATTATACATCTCTTCGAACCTTTGGATGTGCTTGTTATCCTCTTTTGCGCCCATATGCTTCTCACAAACTCATGTTTCGTACAAAGAGATGTATCTTCCTTGGTTATAGTTCAAATCAGCGTGGTTATCGGTGTTTAGTCCTACCTCCCATAAGATTTTTATTTTCAGACATGTGGTTTTTGATGAGCATATGTTCCTTGCAACAGAAGGCTTGCAATCCTCACACCCTTCCACAGTGGCCTCCTATAATGGTAATCCTTTCTCTATTCCTTTTCCTTCAAATTTTGATTCTGGTTTATCTCTAACAAATATTGATTCTGGTTTATCTCTTAGCAATCCTGCTGTTTCAAATCCCTCTCCGTCTTATCTTGAACCTCCCTCCATGTCACCACATAGTCAATCTCCTTCACCTACTCATTTTCTTGAATCCAACTCTACTTCTCCTATTTTATCTTCTTTTGAACACTCACCCTCTTCTGCTCCAACACAATCATTTCCCTTGACCGTGCCCATGCCTCTTCATCTATAATACCTCATTCCAATTTTTTTAGAACTCATCCTATGACGACTCGTTGTAAAATTTGAGCATGCATATGTACGAAATTTTTTGTTTGTAGTGCATGTTTTAATAGGTTCATAATTAAAAAAAAATAGAATTAAAAAAAATGAAATTGGGTTATTTACAAAAATGCCATTGCATGGCATTTTCTCAAATTGCTGCCTGGCAACACAAGGGGAGTTCTCCTCAGCCTTCTCCAAGCTTCTAGAGTGATTGAAGAGTTGCTTAAGAGTTCAACACATTTTTTGATAAGGTAGAACCGCCATGAGAGGAAAGAGAAAAGTTAGTGAGAGAAAAACTTTGAATTTTTGAATTTCTTGCAAAGACTACTTCGAGCATTAAGAGGTATACTTACAGCCTAATATGGATGTTAGGAATTCATATATGTAATTATATTTTGATTTGGTTTAGTATTAATGCATGAATTTGTGTTTTAAAGTTTAGTGAATTTTTGGATTTTGAAACGGGTTTGAGATTTGAGCTTGATTTGGGTTAATTGTTTGGTATGGCTGAGTTTGGGGGGGTCTTGAGGAGTTGTTTAGTGCTGGTGTGGTGGTTTGTCGTGGTGTGTGATGGTGTAATGGTGGTGTGAGGGTTTTGAAGAAGTGAAAATGTGATTTTGATCAAAACTTTTTTAAGTTTCAAAAGGGGGCTTGGGTCTAACTAATTTGGAGTCAAGAAATCCATTTCCGACTTCGGAATTGGATTTAGAGGTCATTTTGGGGGTGAAACGGGCAGTTGCAGGTCTGCCCTTATGTTTAAAAATTGGTTTTTGGCCAACTTTGACCAAAAATTTGATGATGTTAGAATTCAATTCAAAAGTTGAGTCTAATAGGGATTGATACTAGGTTATCCAAGGAGTAGATGAGTGTTAAAATCAAAGGATATGGTGTACTTTAATAGGAGAACCAGGTGGTCAAAGTAGAGTGGTTGAGCAGAATTTTTTGCATTTAGGGCAAAAGTCAAAATAAAATCAAGGTTGAAGATGAAGTGAACAGTGGACTCCGATGAAAATTTTGGCCTCATCCGAACTCTGATCGACCTCTGGTTGGTTCCAAAAGTTCCATAACGTCCGTGCAGAGGTCCCGGTAAAATTTCAAGTCGATCCGACGGCTGGATCAAAATGAGGATTGAAATGATTGTTTTGACCTCCGAGGCCAATTTGACCCAGTTTTTGGATGATTTTGAAAAAATAAATTTTATATTCATTCTTAGATATGTTAATTGAGTATGTGTATGGAATTTTATTTAAAAATAATATCATTTTATTTTTAGCTATTTCAGATCGAAAAACAGCACATGATATAATTTCTCAATTCCGGATCAGTCGAAATTTTTCAAATTCATTTTGAAATAATGTATTACATTACTTATGAGTTATTAATATATTTTAAAACTTATGATTGATGATTTTGAATTTGGATTGGAAATCATAGATCCGGATTAGGGTTTTAAGTGTAGTAACGCACAGTGGTCCAAAACGATGCAATTGTGGTGAATACGAAACGTTAAGAAATACATTCATGTGCATTGATTTTCATTAGTTAAGCTATTTTTGATTCAATACTCATTTACATTAATCCATGTGTTAACTGTTAGGGTCGAAGGTTGCTACCACGGTTACACATAGGGATTGACCGTAAAGAAAGGAAGGGTATCTATCAGTGGTAAAAGTGAAGTGTACTGCTTCATAATACTTGAAAATAAAAGTATATGATATATCAAGTTTATTCTCTTATATGTGAGAAATCAATTTTGCTGAATTGATTTGAGTTGAGTTGCTTAAACTATGGATCAAATATGTTTTGTTAAAAAGTTTGTGATTTATTGAAAAGCTTGTGGTTTGTTGAAAAGCTTGTAATTTGAATAGTATCCATTGTGCTAGAGTTGTTGATAGCTTGACATGACTTACATGTTGTTGATTTGGACACTGCACAGTTGTCGTGAGACAGTTTGACATTGCTTAAATGTTGTAGATAACTTGACATTACTTAAATATTGTTGATAGTCTGACATTGCTTA